TGTCTCTCCTCTCTTTCCTTCGACTTCTCTTCTCTCTCTCTCCCGGTTATATCTCCTGATGGGCGATGCATGCGATAGTCGAGGGTCCGCAAAAGGACTAAATGGACTATGCTTGTGCAAGTGGAATCTCAACTAGCAATGTGCATTCTATACGTACAAACAGTGTTTGAATAGCATAGGGAAGGTTTAGATGCGAGATCTGACTTGACCGCGTCTGACCTTTAGCACGTAGTCCAAGACAGTTCAGCAGAATGCTAAAATACTAACGCCGAGCCGAACCAATATCGCAACGCAGACCAATCATACTTCTCCCTCATCACAAGGTGTAAAAGTTCCAGGCGCTTCATACGGAAATAACGCGCCAGTCCATATTATACACAGACGACGAGGAGGGGAGGTGGGAAGTCGCCAGATCCCACCTACTCCTTCGTAAAAAATGTCTGAAGTTCAACGTCGCGTCTGGATCCAAATGTCACCAAGCTCTCCCTTTCTCTCTCTTTTCCTACCTTTCTCTCTTCTTCCCATCTCTCTGTTTATTTCCCTTCTCCTCTACTTCTATTTCCCTCCTTCTTTTCCTTCTTCTTCTTCTTCTTCTTCTTCTTCTTCTTCTTCTTTTTCTTTCTTTGCTTCCCCCGTTATTCCTTTTTCTTCCTCTCAATGATAAAGTTCAATGAACCTTTCACATCACCCCCAGCGGCAAACCATCGAGATCAACGCAATCCAGACACTTCACCGGACTATTCAATCGGTAGGAGTGACGGCGGTGTTGTACAAAGGGCAGGGATGTAACCAGCGCGAGCAGATGACTCGCGTTTACTAGGCATTCGTCGTTCAAGATCGATAATTACAACAATCTTCCATATCAATAAATAAAATATATATATATAATAAACGATAATAATTAATAGTAGAAATAGTATAATAATAACAATATAAATAATAATATAAGTAAGTCATAATAAATGTATCCTAGCTACCTTTACAGTCACATACAGTCGTATCGAACTTTTCCACGACGGCGACAGTGATGATCGTCGACTAACAGGAATCTCTCTCTCTTTCTCGTCGATCTCTCCTTCTTCACCACCCTTTCTCTCTCCCTCTTTCTCTCCTTTCTCTTCCTTGCACATACGCGCACACCCCGTCGCCCTACTGTATTGACGCAGACCAGATCAAGAACCGACCTCTCGTACAAAGTACGAGACAGCGTAGTGGATAACTTAGGTACCGACGATCCGAGCAATGATTATTGCAATGCACCTCCGAACATACATCATCATCATCATTCCATGGTGTAAAGGGGTCTGGCACCTTACACACGAAGACTGCGCCAGCCCCGACCATACCCAGACGAGGAAGAGGGAGGTTAGACGAGTGGAAGATGGGAATGTCGTCAACACCAAGTCTTTGGTACAGTCCCAAATAGTCACTCGTCAAAATGTATGAATTCCATGTCGAGTCTGGATCCAATGTCGCCAAGTCTCAAGTCACAACTCTCTCTCTCTCTATCATAGTTTGTTGATTCTGAGAAGTCAGGTGTCGAGAGGGTGAGGGAGAGATGGTGGATTTAAAAGAGGAAGAAAAACTCTCTCTCTCTCTCTCTCTCTCTCTCTCTCTCTCTCTCTCTCTCTCTCTCTCTCCCCCTTTTACACACACACATGATCCCACGTAGCTCGCGTATATACCCATGCTTTATTGGTAGATTCATTCGCTTCTTTTTATTTATTCATTTATTTTATTTATTTATTCTCCCGGGGTAAGCCGCATGGTTGTAGACTCACCTCCTTTCTTCTTGTCGCTGTTCGAATCGTCCGCCGCTGTCGCCTTCAAGTCGTCGTTCGGCTAGGCAAGTATTGCCTCGACTCCTCCTCTCACCCGGACTCACGCCCTTTTCTTCTCGTACTTCTTCCTTCCACCCTCCCCCTTTTCTCGCTGTCACCTTCTCCTTAATCCGAGGAGACTCACAACCGATACTAGCTATCGTGGGTGTACGTTCGAAGGTAATACAAAGCCGCTATGCCTTCCGTCCACGACTCAAACTCGAGTCATCACCATCCCGTCGATCACTCAGGTAAGTATTTTTCTTCTCTCTCCTTCTTTGCATGACTTCTTCTCGTCTTCCCTTACGAGCGCCACTCTTGTGTATCTTCCTCCGCCTTTCCTTTGCGTAGCTCATACCGTGCCCTCCTCTACTTTTCTCGACGAGTATTGTCGTGCCCTTCCGCTTGTGCCTCCCTTCCCACGACGAGTCCTGACCGGGTCGCAGTCGAGGCGTCCTTCTCCTAAATGAATCTGCCCCTAGTAAAGGGCGGGGTTCATTTGAGCACCCTCGGGCAGATAGGCCGTTGAAAAAAAAAGTAACAAGAGTAAAACAAGGAAAATAAGAATAATTAAAATTAAAATAAAGGAACCGAGCTAACAAAATCTAACGAAAATCCGCCTACCGTTCGCCCTACCTTACCAAGTGTCGGAGTCCTACGGTACTGAGCTCTAACCAACGTACTAACCTTACTAACTTCTGTAAGTGAGGTCGCGGGTTCAAGTCCCGGCTTACCGTGACTTGGCCAAAATTGAGTTGGAGTCCCTATCAAAATGGGAGTCAGTCTCAGCGGTATGTAGGTTTCGATCCCGGTATATTCTGATTAACAGACATCCCATAAACCTACATAGCTAGCTCCCACTTCGAATAGAAGGGGAGCAACTCAGTATGTAAGTAATAGCGGCTCGGTCCTACTAGTGGTCTGAACCCTTTCTTGAGTATACACGGGAGTGTGAAGTTTCACTGGTCCGTATGCCAATCTGAAAGCTTGTTGGTTTGTGTATGCTTGCGCATGTTAGACTGCATGCTTATCGGCTTGGGTGTGCGTATGTCTCGCAAGGGCACTTAGTTTCTCAGAAGGCCCATAGGCCCTGTACTTAGCCGTGGCCGCGCCATTTGGAGGTCGCAGAAGGGACGCATTCTAGCGGCGGGTAGGTCGGTGCTTAGCTATGGTCGTGACTTTCATCGTCCTCTACATCCTAAGTGCAACGGACGATATTCAAGTAACAGGTGGTTCGGTACCTCACCATATCGAGTTAGATACGGCGGTACTTGACTCGGAGGCCGAGTCGGGAAATATACCTGGCGCCGGAAGATAGACAGGTACCTGACCAGGCCTCAGTGCGTGTCGTGGATCTTACCGGCACAATATCAACCCGACTGACCCTTCGACCTTTCTCTCGAGGGGTATCACCACTGATCCTAATCATCGCGGCGCGTGTCATAATAACGCGCACGCATTTTAAACAAAATTTTCTTACCGATTTTTGCCCCGACCTCAGTGGCCGAGGATTTTGCTTCCAGTGTTCCGCCAAGCGTGCACACCTCTCTCGTCCTAGACTGGCTCCGTCATGGTGGTTAGTGCCGCCACCGTGCCGAATGCAAAGACAAGGCAAAATACCCTTTTAAGGGTATTTTGTCCAACAGTATCCCAAACCTCATTAAGCGACGTCCCCGTCGCTCGGAGACTATATGCAAATAAAGGTGTTTTTTGACAAGCAATTCGTCAAATCCGAGTCCTGGAATGAAATGTGGTTTCAGGATTGACGCCGTCACCTTACTTTTCATTATTATCGTCGGGATTTTAACCTGGGTCTCCCACATAAAATATAATAACTGAAAGTGGGGATACTTGATCTGTGCTACAGTACATGAAATAGTTAAGTATGACAACACACCTTTCCTTCCCCCACACCTTTAGTCTTTGGTCCATGTATTCGTTGGTTGTTTTCAGGGTTGGTGTTCGCGTACGAATTCAACCCGTCAAATGCGGGTCCTAACCGAGACCTTGGGTGTTCAACTCTTGATATTACAATCCAAAGTTGCCTGTCGTCCTGCCCGAAGCCTAATACAGGAGGACAACGGTCTCCATCCTGACCCACCACAGTCGTGCTGATCATGCCGGAGCTGCAACCCACCACATTGTTGCTTATCGGTGGTTACCCTCGTTGGTTGCGCAACGATGGGATATTCATCCTATCTTTAAAATTTTGTAATCTCGACCCCTTCGTCATCCACCTGAATAGACCCCTTCATTGGGGAGGCCTCCCCTCTAGTTTCTTTTCGAGAACATAGTCGAAGGGTCCGTTGCCTGGTTATGCTAGGTCAGCAGCCCACGCTGGGAGTTATGTCCCAACGATGCGAATTTTCCGCCATAGGCTTGGTAATTTATGCCCTCAGGTTAACCCTTAGGGTGGATGAGCGATGTTTTTTAAATAAACCGAATAAATAAGATAATAAATTGAGCATTCCTCAAGCTACCACTAAGGGTTGTGCCCTCCAAGTCTTTGATCATAGCTCGGTGAGGCACGCACCTCGGGGTCATTTTATAACCATTATTTATATATATATATATATAATCATTATTTTTAAAATAAACTTTTATTGACTCTTTACTTGTTTGAATCCATAAAAAAATAAATTATTACTTTCATAGAGATTGCCAAAGAATTTCTGCAAAAGAATTGATAAGACTCAAAGGAGTTTATCCATGTCGTAGCATGGTCTCAAACAAGAAATGTACAATCAATCCAACTTTTGGAGCTTCACAACTTATCAAACTTTCATATGAATACAGATCCGCCCATTCCTCTATCACCTCCTTAGATCTCAACAGAGTCTAGTAGTGATAGACGAAGGGAGATCTTAGGTTACCAGAGACTCAACAAAAAACAAAGGCCCACACACAATGTGACAAGTGCGTCGTGTTCACCAGGTCATCCCCCTGAATAATATATATAAATACAATTATGTTATAGAGTCAGATCACCACTCCCCTCTACTATCCCTCAAATACCTCTCATGTCATTTCCTATACTTTTCCTATGCTAAGTTTCCTCATGTAACTGAAGAAAAACACACAATTTGTCTCACTCCTGTTCTCATGTCCAACGGAAGAAGAAAACTCATATCCTCTTGCTCTAATCTACACCTTTCTCCCTCTCATAACTGTTTTTAAGCCAGTTCAAGTTATAGTTTACTCAAAACATCTACCTATTCCTACCTAGAAATCAACTGGCAGTCCCAGTATCCTGTGAAGTGCTACCCTGCCTCCGTCAGGTATCCTGGGAATGGTCTGCACTGTGCCGGCCACCAATCTCTTATGACTATCATATTTGGTTTTTCCTTCCTTGATATAAATTGCTAGAATGGAACACTCATCCCTGAGGTGTCCTTCCTGAGTGCAGAAGAAACACCTCTATCCAACCATGCTAGGCTTGATTTTCTTTATGTCTGGCTGGATTGAAGCCTCAGCCTGATCCTCAGCCTCCTTTGGTGAGTCCAACTGGGATTCCCTTTGTCTTTTACCCTGTCCTGGCAGAGCCATAGCCACATTCTCACTCACCTCTTTTTCTGGTGCAGGAGGTTCATCTCTCTTCTCCTCAGTCTGTATCCCTTTCTCTTCACACTTTTTTCTTTCCACCATCTCTGTGGCTTCCTTCTCTTTTTCCTGATGGTTCAGTCTGAGTCCCTCCATTCCTACCGATATCTCATCCCATATTTTCTCCCACTCTTGTCCCAACTTCTTCCTTTCTGAGATTTCATTGTCTAGGTCGAGTCCCAGCACACTGACCTCAGGGCCCAGGTCATCCATCCTTATTTCCATCCTTCCTATCGTGACCGCTTCATTCTCCAATTTTCCGTCGCTCATAGTCAGGGCGGCCCTCAATTGGCTCACTTCTTTCTGTAATTCCTCCTTCCCTTTCTTCAATCCCTTCATTTCCTCCTTCATCTCTTTCATATCTCTCATCAATTTTTCGACCTGGGCATCCCTCTCATCTTCCTTCTTTCTTATCTCACTTGTCTCTTCCCTTCCTCTGTCCCCATTCGGCCTTTTTTCCTCAGTCCTCTTGACCTTGGGAGCCTTGCCTCCTTCCTGGATCGTCTTCCCTTCTCCAGCTTCCTTCATTCCTCCCCCTTTTTCACTCCTCCTTTCTTGTACCTCTTCCCTTCCACTCTCAATTGCCCTTTTCTTTCCAAGTTTTTTCCTTCTTGGTACCATACTTGCCCCCATTCTTCTTTTCCTCTCCTCTGCTGTCTCCTCCTCTTCCTGTTCATCTCCCTCATCCCGCTCAGATCCCTTGCTGCTGCTCTTGGGGGAGACCCTCGTCTTGTTCTTCAATCTCTTCAGAGACACATTATCTTCTTCTTCATTTTCTGCCTCCTTCCCCTGTGGCTCAGCCACCGCTCTTCCAATCCATAGCCCCTTCTCTTGTAGTCTCTCTTTTCTTGTTTGATCTTGCCTGACCTGGGTGTAGGCTATCCACAATTCTGTTGTTATTCTCTTCCAGATTCAGCTTCCTTTCACAATTCCTTTAACTTCCTCCTTTTCACTCTCTTCTGATCTTGCGATCAGTTGTTTTTTCCTTCCCTCCTTGTTTCACTCGCCTCTCTCTGCGGCCAACTGCAAGCTCTCAATAAAGTCTTCCAGATTGGTTCCATCAAACCTTAAGTCATCCTCCACATCCACCTCGTGCATCCTGCCACCACTCCTTCAATCCTCCTCTTGCACATTCCTGCACCACTCACATTTGCAATTTTCTCCCTGTCACCCCATTCTCTCCTGAATGCATATTATTCAAGGTCTCGCAGGAAAACTTGCAGGCTGTGCCCAACCCTGTAAATGGGCAACTCCTCCAGGTTCCTTGAGATTCTCTGATCCCTCCTCTGCCCTCCCTCTCTCAAGGCAGGTCCAGAGGGTCTTGCCACTGCTCCTTTCTGCGCCATGGCCTCTTCTTTCCAGGGGTCACGCTTGCATATAGAGAAGGAGCAAATGGCAAGGGACGAGGGTCAGATTATCATCAAGGCAACATTCCTTGTTAAACACAAGTTGACAATGCCCTCCTTTATCAGGTACTTATATACATGCACATATACACATACATATATATACATACATGAGCGTATATACACATATATCCCCACTTATACCCCCTTTGCATCTACGTATGTACACATACACACACACATATATGTATATATATGCATGTATGTATCTATATATGTAAGATCCTGACCTTGGGCAATTGGGTACATACCTGCATAGAAACTGATACACATATGCATGCCTGAAATACCTTCTCATTCTATTCAAGCTTTCACATCGTAGCTGAGCTTACCTTTTCTCTGACTCGGAACTTCTTCAATCTAGATTCCGAGACTCAGTCCTTCCTTGGAGTCCCATCCATCTCTTCTAACTCATATGCCCCATGAAGTCCCTGCTTCCTGACTTTGAATGGTCTTAGTCACCGTTTGTCCAATTTCCGCGACCACTGCATTTCCAGAGAGGAATCGTAGAGTAGTACTGTCTCGCCAACTTGTAGAGGTTCGAGTCTTACTCTAGGTAGCTTGTCCCACCTTTCCTTATCCTTTCCCCTGCTGTCTGCAACGTTCATGGTTGCTTTCTGCACCCTTTCTTCAGTGGCGCTGATCTGCCTTGCCCTTAGATCTAGCAGTTCCTCCAAAGTCAAGTTGTTCTCCAGGTCCTGCCTGCGCCAAGTTTTCAGGAAGTTTTCAATAGGAAATGTGGCGTGACGCCCATACCAGAGCGTCGCAGGTGCATACCCTGTCGTTCTCTTTACGGTGGTGTTCTCCACAAAGAACACTGTTCTTAGGAACTTTGGCCAGAGGTTCAACTTCCCACTGGTCCATTTGGCCAACAAGTTAGTAATTGTGCTATGGCCTCTCTCAACCGGTGCATTCGCTTATGGATGTGCCCGAGTCGTATAATTACCTGTGACCCCAATTCCTTGAGCAACTCCTTCACCTCCCCACACGTGAACTTAGACCCCCTGTTCATTGTAAACTCCAATACGAACGGATATCTGAGATAATACTCTTTAATGCAATCTGTCAGCGTTGTCCGGGTCTTGTTCCTGATCGCCCTGCCATCAACGAATCCAGTAAGATTGTCCCTTGCGTCGAATATATAGTTATATCCTCCAAGACCTAGCGGCATAGCTAGTAGATCCAGGTGAACAACCGCCCCTACTTCCTTGATATATCTAGGATGTAGGGGTTCCTTGTACCTGATAGGCGATCGAATTTGACAGGGTACACACGACTCACAATATTTTCGCGTCATCTCAAACATTCCTTCCCAGTAGTAGAGCTCCATCGCCTTCTTGTAAGTAGCCGCGAAGCTCCGATGTCCTCCGACTATCCCATCATGCAACGCAGCTACTACGTCAATCTGGCGATTCCTTCCACACACGACACGTCGTGGCGGCCCCCTCTTATTCCTGATGAACAAGTGACCACCTCTTACCACATAGTGGTCTCTCATCCTGAGAGTCTTCTCACTCACTTCTCTTTCTTTTTTATCTCCTGAGAGGAGCAACCCCATTTCTAAATAGAATCCTTCATACTCCTCTTCCTTGAATTCCTCTGAAATCTCCTCTTGTTCGAACTCTCCTTCCTTCTCTTCGTCGAACTCGTAATTATCCTCAATAACTATTTCATCGGTCTTTACTATTTCTCTTTGGACTTGCAACAGTGTATTTCTCAGGTAGTACATTCTTCCCATCATGGCTACCTGCTCGTCTGCCTGTTGGACTCCTGCTTCGATCGTTAGCGGCTCATCCATTATCCTATAATTCTTTGCCACAACCAACTTCATCATCCGTTCCGTATTTCTCTCGCCCCAAGAGTCCTCCTCCTCTAATGGTGTGAGTATCAGGGAAGGTTCTCTCATAAATTCGGGAGGCGGATGCTACATCAGATTTCCTCTCCTCATTTTCTTACTCTCGACAAACATGAACCAACAATTCACGTGAGTTCGCATGTCTTCCCCTTCATCCAAAAACCCGTCTACTGGAGGCGTTTCTTCATTGGATTCTTTTTGATTTCCCCACTCAATTCTGCTCATGCTATCCGCCCTGTTCTTGTTCTCAGGGATCCGCTCTAACTGGAAGTTGAACATCCAGATATAGGTGAGTCATCTGGCTATCATCGGATCTGAGGGCGATAAGTTTTTGAGCGAGTCACAAGCGCCGTTGGATCGATCCTGAGTACAAACCTCCTCCCAAAGAGGTAATGCCTAAAGATCCTTAGGCAATGCAGGACCGTCAAGGCTTCTCTTTTGAACTGCGAGTAGTTCCTTTCTGTTGAGTTGAGTGTTCGGCTTTCAAACCTCAACGGCCTCCCCTTTCCTTCGCTGTCTGCCTGGATCAGGACGCTTCCCAGGGCGGTTGGTCCAGCGTCAGTTTCAACTATGAAGGGTCTTTCCATAGTCGCATCAAAGTCCGGTACCCCTAGTACCAGACCTCCCTCTCTTAACTCCTTCAATTCTTCCACCACTTCCTCTTGATGGTTTTCCCATTCCCATTCCTGATCCTTCCGGACTAGCTTCCTTAGATGCTCAGTTTTACTAGCAAACCTTTCTATGAATCTTCTCCAGAACCCACAGGTACCAAGAAAGCTTCAAACTTCACCCATATTTCTGAAAGGAGTGGGTCATTTCAGGATTTTATTGGTCTTCTTCTTATCAGAGCGCCGACCATGCTCGTTGCAAATGTATCCTAGAATGGTTACCTCCTTTACGCAATGTCTCGACTTCACTCCACTGGCGGTGAGGTTGTATTTTTCTAGTAAAGATAAGACTTCTCTTAAACCCTGAACATGTTCCCATACAAACCTTCTCACCCCTGGAACCACTTCTGACTCGTCCTTCTCAATCGGGCCCTTAACTGCAAGATCATCTATATATGGTTCTGTGATCTGAGGGCTGATTGGCTGCATAACCCTAATCATGCTCCGTTGCACCATGGTCACGGCATTGGTCCATCCTTGTGGCGTAATATTCATATGAACTAATCCTCTTGGCGTGTGCATCGCCGTGATGGGACGGTCTGCCAAATAGACTGGAAATTGATTGCATCCGGAATAGAGGTCGATGAGGAACACAATCGACCTACCTGCACAAGCTTCTGACAACTGGTCGGCGTTAGGCAAACCTCCTGCATCCCTTACAGTTACCGCGTTCAGTCGTTGGAGGTCTTGCACCCATCTGAGTACCCCATTTGGCTTTACAAAACAGAACCAGGGAGAGGCATATGGTCCTCTGAAGTACCCTGCCACATCCGTGCGGATCTTCCCATCTAGGTACTCTACCACCCTTCTGCGATCCTCGGGGTTGTGATACTTAGCTCCTCGGACATTCCATGACTCATGAGGTACAATATGAATGCGGATCATTTCTATCTTGTCCACATCCAGCCTCCCACGTTGATTATCGTTGAAGGCATATGCCCCATGTCTTTCATGTATCAGTTTTTTTACCAAGTCCTCCTCTTGCCTTGTCAGAAATCCAGGTTCCCCTATTATCAATTCTTTCTCAGTTTCATCGTCAATACGACAAGGCTCATTCTGGATGTCTTCCCTCATTCGTTGTACCAGCTCTCTTTCTTGATCATAATACACCCCATCTTCTTGACTCACTAGAACTGGCACAGGGTGACTCTTTTTGTCTGCCATTTTGTACCTCCTTTTGGAGCCCTGGTTGAGCCCACCCATAAAAAATGTTGACCGGCAGCTTGAGCATTCAGTGCATGCGACACTATCATCTGAGAAGAAGGAGGCGGTCTGTAAACGAGATCGACACTTCCCCTTTCCGGATCGTCTTGGATCCTTTCCGCGAGGGCCCTGACTGCGTCAGGATCAATCATCCTATAGGCCGATACAAGTTTCACCGCGTCACTGATATTGGTCAGGCTTAATACAAGCCCTTTGGCTTCTTCATCATCTGACTCATCCTCTCCTTCTTCCCATTCCAGTTCCCTCCTCCTATTCTCTGATTCCTCGAATGTATAGGATCCGACATTGAGCCTGTTCTTCGAGTTGTGTGGGTCAGTATTCCTACAGGTGATAACCTCAAAGTTTCCACAGGCAGGATCGCACAGGATAACGAACATGGTGCCGTCGTGCTTGTTCATAATGAGTGTCTCGGATCTGCACAGGAACGACCTTCCCAGTAATATTGGAAGGTCCAAGTTGGGCATGACGTAGAAACACGTACGTACCTTGACTCTTCCTATTTCTATCACTACATTTGACGCAACCCCCGTGTATCCGGTCTTGCCGCTGGCTCCATTGAGAAACCCGCAGTCATTTTCATCTACCTCCAGTCCTAGTTTTACTGTCGTTTCTCCGTTTATAATTTTCATCTTTGCCCCCGTGTCAACCATCCCAGGACACATCTTCCCCTTTATCATAATATCAATGGACCCTGTTCCCACGAACTTCCAGTCTATTTTGCTTCCTGCCACGCTCCAGTTAGCCTCTTTGGGAATTAAATCTTTCATTCGGACCGAGGCTTTTCTTCGGCGTGATAACCTAGCCTTCACCATCTCTCTTAACTTAGGAGCCGAAGCGAGGATTTCTTTCAGGTTTAGTAGTTCATTGTGCCCCTCCAGCAGTTTATTCATCAGGCCTTCCAGATCCACCCCTTCTTCAATCGAGGTTTGGTACTTTCTATTCTTGCTTGGTCCCGTATCCCCTTTTTATCTTCCTTCCTTAGCTTCGCCTTTCCTTCTCTTAGCCCTTATCTCCGTCTGCCTTTCTTCTTCCTCTCTAATCTTCTCATCCTCATCTTCATCACCCTCTACCGTGATAGGTGGTTCTTCTTCTGCTGGCTGGGAAGCCTGAGCTTGTTCCTTTTGAGGATTCCCTCCTGCGGGTCTCCTTGTAGCGAATGAAATTGTTCCTCTTATACTTTTCTGACTTCCATTGTTCCTTGCGGCCGTATTGACTCTCAACATTCTTGGGTTGGGTTCATTTGACCCATCTCCTGATCCCCCGCGCCCCATGGTAAATACTTTTGGGCATCCAGCTCCTTTTCTTCCTGTTTCTTCACATATCCCTTGAAGCCTCAGATGTAGCCTCTGCATTTTGTCTACCAAGTCTTCCATTCTATCGAATGTGTCTCTGACGTTAGCCCTAACGTCTTCCTCCTCTGTTTCTTCTTCCACAAGTGGCACATCTCCTTTGTCTTCTCCAATCCCCATCCTACTCACTTTCTCTTCCCAAGTTAGTTATATCTTCCACCTGCACTACTGGTTCTTCCCTTTCCTGCCAAATTATGAACATCCCTGGTACATTGGGACCAAGTGCGGCCACACGAAGAGCCTCTTCCCTCGTGCCCCCTGGAATCTCAGGATCAATCACCCTACCATTTTGGTCGAACACCTCGCCTTCCATGTTTGATGTTATGAGTCCTTCACGCTCGTCAAGCTTCCTAACACGACATCGTTTTACCGTGTGCCCTTTGATCGCGCAGTGGGTACAAACGCATTCACTGTAATCAATCCACCCCCTGCCATATCCTTGTCCGTTCCATTGTCCGTTTCCTCTACCGTACCCCCTTCCATAGCTTTGGTCGTATCCACGACCATACCCTTGCTGGTATTCCTGCCCGACTGGATTTGCACCCCCTTGGGGCTGCCCCCAGTTCCTACCTTGGTTTCCACCGCCTGTGTTACCTGCTCCTCGTTCCCCTGGTCCCTGATTTCTACCACCATTCCTACCTCTTCCACGTTCTTGTCCTTGTCCTTGTCCTTGGAACTTGGAACTTGTTTTGGTTTTGGCCACCCTGGCGACTTGACCTTGCTTGGTTCTGCCCTGTCAGTTGAAGTTGTCTCGTGTTTTGGTCTCCTCCCAAATTTTGATTCTGGGGTAACATGGGGTATGGGCCCTGCGTAGGCCATGACCCTACCGGGAAGTACCCACGTCATGCTCCCATAGGCGGACCCACGGGCCATTGATCATATTGCGCTGTGCTTGATGACGGCTCCTGTCCATACTGGACTATCGCTTGTTGAGTTACTTATCCTTTTCCCGACCCTTGTCCTCCAATAGCAATATTTTTAGCCTTTCTCTGACACTTGGTCAGTTTGCATGTTCCTTCTGGTCCTCCGTCTTCTGCTTCTTCCTCTCCATCTTCCTCTTCCTTCCTTCTCTTTCCTGACGGTTGTGTCATTGTTAACACTTTCGATGGTGTCACTCTTTCCCTAAGCTCTTTTATCTCATTTGCCATATTGCTCAGCACTCCTCCTAGTACACTATCCGTTCCTTGGATCGTCCCCACAACCTTTCTTTTCTTTCGTTCGACCTTGATTTGGTGATGGAACACTTGGTCCATGTCTCCTGCCGCGATGTTCCTCTTTATGGTTTCCCAGATTGTCTTTCTCTCGGCGGCTCCCCCTCGGGTTAGTTCCATCGCCTCATACCCAGAGAACTTCCCTAGGAATATGACGCACTGCATCTCTTCCGACAGTCCCGGGACCCTCTCGGCTGTTTTTTCGAACGTGTTGGCGAATGCCCTGATCGTGGTGAAGTCATCTCTGTTCATGTTATAGAGATGGTCAATCGTGAGCAGGCCATCTCCCAGCTTAAACGTCTTTTGCTTAAACTCTGCCCAATCATTGTTCGCTTTTCTCACTACCTCTTCCACGTCAGAGGTGCATTCCCACCATACGTACTCAAACAACTGGGCGAACTTCTCAACCGGTGTCAATTGGTTGAAGATTTGCTAAAGCAGTCCTAACCAATGAGTGACCCTATCCCCTTTGAAAGGGAATATGTCTATCCTTGGTAGGTTAGACCTCTTTGTCGTTCTTTTCTCTAATAACTTGACGATTTCTGCCGCGGTGATCGGCGGCCCTCCGTTGGCGCTGGCATCGCCCATCTTTTCCCCTTTTTTCTTTCTTGGTTCCTGCTAGACCGTAGACCCTGTTAAGACATACAAAACGACCATTGATCCACCCTCTTTGTCACTATCTTGACGTAACTCTTTACGCTATATGACTTCGCATACCTCTTTTCTCTCACCTAAGTATCTCTTCTAGGAGCACCCAGTCCCCATGCCAAAAGCTTCTAACCATACCAAATAAAGAACAGATCTCATCTATAAATTTTTCGATACATGCTTCCCGACAAAGATTGCGCCAGTAGGTCGAGAGATCTTCTAAACGGTAGATGCGTAGATGCGTGTTTACCACGGATAGTACGTTATAAAAATCTCTATTCTTTAGTTTCGGTCCCATCTCTAAGTATAGACGGCAAACAACTTCCGAAGCCTCAAATTTGAAGCCCATCTCTGGAACAGATCGGGCTGCGAGTACTGCCCGTTCTACATTCTTAATCCCCCAAAATGCTTCATCAATTATGAAGCTCGGAAGTGTGGTTTTAATATACCTTGTTGGATATACGAACTCAGCGGCCCACTTCGCTTTGATTAACTTCATAACTTCTCCTTCTTCTCCCCAATACATCCTCCTTGAAAACGCGTTAAGAGTCATTCCGGTTATCAATACGTACTTAGAGATGGACCGACTTTCTCCTATCGCAAGATCGATCGCGTGTGCCCTCTAGAGAAAGGCCGACAGATAACGGGTCACTTTCACTATTGTCTGCCTTTCCCTTGTTGTCCACCCAGTTTCTATCCAAAGGAAGGCCTCTTGTCCGATTGGAATTCCGCACCATGAATCCATTTCTTCATCCATATCTATTGTCCTCTTCGGCCGTGTCATTTTGACTCCTCCTTCCTTTGGCTCAAGCAGGTTGATCAAGAAGCTCCGATCAGCGAACCACACTAAAATGTCATCCCGGTATACCTGTTACAACAATCAAAGAAAGAACCTTTCTCTTCTTAGTAACTACCCAATCTACCCATTTCTTAACACTCTTCCATCCCAGTCTTTCTTGAGCACCCCTTCCTATCTGATAGAGGATCCCTTGGTTCAATTCCTCCCAATAGACATGCCTATTTTCCCAATCGTGCTGACGTGCATATGAATCGACCCTTGATAGTATGTCTTGAGGATCCCTTCCTTCAATCAAATGCCCTATCTCTTGCTATATGTAGTATACCAGCAGAGGAGTAGATGTGTGACATTCTCTCTCAGGTATTGCCATTGCGGCTTCCGCAGCCCTTTCCACTCGGGTCCTCCCTCTGAAGGTTGCATCTACGATGAACATAGGAAGGGTCCCTCTTAGATATGCTGCTGGCGGAAGAAAATCGTTAGCCTTTCTTACCCTCATAGTTTCTATCATTCCTTCAAACCCATTCAAACTTGCATCTCTTCTCCTAGACTCGAGCGCGGATTCTGCTATCCACAATAGTCTGGAAAGAGATCAATCAGTTCCTAAGGCTAAATTTATTATGATAGTTTGCAATTTCTCTGAAGAATGATACACAGTAACCCTTTCTACTACGCGATTTTCGCCTCTTACTCATCCAGAGTCGATCCAAATGAAAGTTTGTTCCTCTACAGAAATCCCCCAACAATAACCCATCTCTTCGTTCTCCTCATGACGACTTGGCAGATTCATCATCAGGCCATGCCTCATTTGCACGGGCTCTCTGATCGTGATTTGATATCAGGCAGAAGCCATGTTCTTTTCTTTGGTATACTCCACCTACTACACAACACAATCCAGCCCACATCTCTTTTATTTTAGCTAGTAGACTTATAATCCCAAGATCTGATTGATTCCCCTTTCTATCCCATCATCTCCTTTGATCCTTTTGAACCTTTATATAATGTTTTTGTACAGTAAGTATGTTACTAACCCACAGATCTCTATTTGACATAGTAGAAACATTAAA